GAATTGTCAAGCAAGACTAGAGACTAGTGTTCTGCTGCCGCACGTAGCTCCTCCCGTAGAATCATCTCACCGAAGCAACGAGAATCATCTCACCGAAGTAATGAGAATCATCTCACCGAAGCAACGAGAATCATCTCACCGAAACAACGAGAATCATCTCACCAAAGCAACGAGAATCATCTCACTGAAGCAACGAGAATCATCTCACCAAAGCAACGAGAATCATCTCACCGAAGCAACGAGAATCATCTCACCAAAGCAACGAGAATCATCTCACTGAAGCAACGAGAATCATCTCACCAAAGCAACGAGAATCATCTCACCGAAGCAACGAGAATCATCTCACCAAAGCAACGAGAATCATCTCACTGAAGCAACGAGAATCATCTCACCAAAGCAACGAGAATCATCTCACCGAAGCAACGAGAATCATCTCACCAAAGCAACGAGAATCATCTCACTGAAGCAACGAGAATCATCTCACCAAAGCAACGAGAATCATCTCACCGAAGCAACGAGAATCATCTCACCAAAGCAACGAGAATCATCTCACTGAAGCAACGAGAATCATCTCACCAAAGCAACGAGAATCATCTCACCGAAGCAACGAGAATCATCTCACCAAAGCAACGAGAATCATCTCACTGAAGCAACGAGAATCATCTCACCAAAGCAACGAGAATCATCTCACCGAAGCAACGAGAATCATCTCACCAAAGCAACGAGAATCATCTCACTGAAGCAACGAGAATCATCTCACCAAAGCAACGAGAATCATCTCACCGAAGCAACGAGAATCATCTCACCAAAGCAACGAGAATCATCTCACTGAAGCAACGAGAATCATCTCACCAAAGCAACGAGAATCATCTCACCGAAGCAACGAGAATCATCTCACTGAAGCAACGAGAATCATCTCACTGAAACAACGAGAATCAATCTCACTGAAGCAGTGGAAGCTGGAGAATCATCTCACTGAAGCAACGAGAATCATCTCACTGAAGCAGTGGATAATTCAACTATCGCAACCTTTGCCGACGCGGATACAAAGATCTTTAGAACTGTGTCGAAAAGAGACTAGGGGGTTATCCTACAAAATGGAAGATGTTTGAGGGTCGTTTTTCAAGACATGAAAATTCTTCCTAATGATATCTCTTACTTTAAAATAAAAGGATGATAAGTTAGTACCAGGGGATTCAGTTATTTCCTGTGACATTGGACACAGGATTTCCTGTGACATTGGACACAGGG